AATTGTTTCTTAACAGCGTACTCAGTTTTATTTATACCATCCTTTACTATGTATTTTCTTATACCAATGCACCAGATCACAATATACCTTTTCCAATCGAGGTCTGCCATATCGCTATTGTATATTATTTGATCTGCAGGGGACAACTCTTTATACATTTCATAAAGATTGGAATCATCAAATTTCCATTCATTGTGGAGGTAAACACTTACGGCAGCATTTAATCTATACGCCTTAGCATAGAGTTTTCTAAGTCTGTGAATATTAATAAAAAAAATATATTCATGCAATACAGAAGAATAAAAGTGAAATTTAAAATATTCGAAAGGGTATATTAGAAAACTAAAATCTCTACTTACACTGGGCGTCTTCTCATCAATATAAGCATGCCATCTACCAAATAAGCAGGGATGTAATGCATTAGCCAAAACAAAAGGACAAAAAGTGGGAAAGATTCCACATGAATTAAAAAATTATACCAAATGGCTTTGTCTGTAGTAACCTTAGAAGCTTGTTTTCTTATTATTTTAGTGTGCTGGTCTGAAATGGACAATACAAGTGTTTATTATAATGCATAAAAAAATGGTAATATCTATTTTCTGCTATACTAACTGAATTTCTCGAATAGTATCATTATAAAAAAAAACAATGCATTGCATTTGTAGAATCGATGTGTGGAACATATAAATACGCACTTGCTAGAACATTTATACACACCTTTTCTCTGAAAAACTCATTTACATAATTTTTAATTTACTGGCGTACCTACAAAATACTTTTCTGATGTAATTTGAAGCTTTTCAAAATCTGGATTAAACTTACGTAAACTCTGTGGATTCCTGTAGCCAGTGGTTGTATAAATCTTGATATCTTTGTGGCCATTGCTCCATCGCACTGCTGTTCTCTGACCTGAAGCCACTATCGCATTGCTAACCAGATCCACCGGCACCCAGTCCAATAAGATTTCTTGTCTCGAATACATTAAATGCAGTATACCAACACCAATTCCCATAATCATCTGTGATATCAAATTGTACGGTATAAGTCATAGCCGTTACGAAAGCTATGCGCTGTCGCAAAACCGACGGAGTAGTACATAGTAATATTCTGTGACTTTAAAAGGTATTTATCGGACACGACACGTATCATATTTCATAAGTACGTAGCCTCAAAGTATTTTTTTTATAACAAATAATTTAAAATAAGCAGACTTTGCTACTACTGCAGCATAATAGGGCCCTATTATGCTGCAGTAGTACCGATATGGCTTGACCATAACACTTATGAATGTACAGATAACGCAGCATGTGTAATTGTGTATTGTGTATTTTATTTAAGCTAACATGCATGGTGCGGCAAAAGGCACGCCCGAGTTTGCAGAATAAATTTAAAATAAAACTGCAGAGCTGACGACCATTTATTTATTTCAATTCGGTGCATCATACAGTGATTTTTCTCAAGTTTTGAATAATAATATGATCTCAGCAATATGGCGACCTTCATTAACTGATGTAGTCAGTGTCTCTGAGAGGTCGATGCCTCTTTTCAGATTTTTTCATCCTGGTTTACTTAAAGAATAAAGGTTTTAAACACTGCTCCTACAACATGGAAGACCTCAAGGCCGGAATTACTGAGGGAGTGATCGCTTTACCTCTTGACATGTGCCGAAAATGGCCGATAACTTTAGAAACCGACTACATCAGTGTAAAGCTGCTGAAAACCGCCAAAAAATCAAGACCGTAAGTTCTGTAGTTTTTTTTTTACTCGGGAAACCCTGTATCGCAGATGCCATGGACACAAGGTTGACAACCACAAATTATATATATCCAAAGTCACGAGAGAAATAAATGTAGGCCATACAAATATTTCTCCTGTCTCGGGAGTCGAACCCGGGACCTCTGCGTGGTAGTCCAGCATGGTAACCAGTCGACTACGGAGGCAGTTGCTCCTCCCGAACTGGGGTGTACCTTTTGACCCCCCTCTCTCTCTCTCTCTCTCCCTCTCTCTCCCCCCCTCTCTCTCTCCCTCTCTCTCTCCCCCCCCCCCTCTCTCTCTCTCTCTCTCTCTCTCTCTCTCTCTCTCACTCTCTCTAGTCCTTCCTTCATGTCTGGGGATCTTGGTTAGCTTTGTGCCTATTTCTGAAGCGGGTGATCTCCCTCCAGATCTGTTCAGCGCGGCCCTTACGACAATTCAAAATGTGGACGACAATGAATCTTTCACTTTGTCCCATGCGGAACTTCAAATCTCTAACGTTAATATTAAAACTTACACCACTAGCGCCATATATTGCGCTCAGGTCTATCCAACCAGGACTTGGTTCACGGTATGCGCCAATGACTGTAAATATATATAACCATGAGTTACATTAATTAGATATATAATGTATCTTAAGTACTGAGTACAACTTACCTATCGCCGGTCTGCTCACGGCAATCGGAAACTGACCAACCATGTTACGAACTAATTCTTCGGATATAGCCTTCGTAAATGAGTATGTATTTGGCCACTCCCGAAGTAGACTGAAATAATCAATACACCATTCGTCACTATATTTTTAAAGGCTTTTTTGCTTAATAAAAAAACTGCTAATGGTCTTGTTGACCGGTGAAATATACAATGGGGAAATCCACCATGTAGTCTGTGTGGAAATCCGAAACCATAGAAGATACAAGGAAACTGTGTTAATAGGTTAATGGTTATTAAACCTCTTTTTGTGAAAACAATTTTGGCATAGTAAATTTTTTGGTTAAGCGTGACTTGTCCATAAAAATTAATAAAATTGATGAATTTTTTAGTGCTGATCGACTCAGTTTCATGAAGGGATCATTTCATTGTAAGGGACGAAAAAAATCGGGACAGCAGAAGTTTTATAAAATATTTTTTCATACAAAAATAATAAAAATTGACTAATTTCTTTTTAATATTAATAGACTCCGTTTCTTATAAGGATGCCTTCATTGGATCGTAAGTTTCGGAAGAAAATAATTGGGACAGCAGAAGTTACGTGGGAAAAAAGAAATTTTTATTAACTTTGACCAACTTCCACTGTCCCCACTATTTTCTTACAAAAAGCTGAGTCTATGAGCATTACAAATATTATTTAATTTTATTCATTTTATATGAAAAACATTGACAAACATTTTATAAAATTTTACCAACTTCTGTTGTCCCGATTTTTGTGAGTTACAGGCACTCGAAAGAATGTTTCATTTTCGGACTATCGTTTACATCGATACTTGAGGATGAAGTCTCAACTGCAAGTAGTTGAAGTCTCGACTGCATACAGTTGAAGAGTGCATGCAGTCGAAACCGACTTCATGCTGTCGAGGTCTCGGCTGAATGAAGTTGATTACGACTTCACGCGTTAACTGCAAACATGCAGTCAGTCTGTTAGCAGCCTAAGTAGGTATCTGAAAACAGCGTAACAATGACGCGCCTTATTTTGGCTATTCCTTAGTCCGGCGGCACATTTCTTAGGCTCAAACGAAGCTCTGCTGCATACACAGTCTGTAGAATACGTGAGCTTACCGATGTTGTTACTGCTAGACTAATTTACTTTAGTTACTTCCATAGTACAATGTCCTACAGTATTTTCATGTGGAGTAAAGCGACAGATATACAAACCATATTATTTTGTGTTGCAAAAACGAGCGATCCCTTCTGGGTACCGTTTAGGTTTCTCTTAGAGAAAAGTTTAAGGAGACTGGTATCATGACTGTGACATCACTGTACATTTACTCAAATATCTTGTATGCCCGTAAAAATATACATAATTTCATTAAGAAAGAAGATATCCATAATATTAACCTTAGATCGAAGTCCAAACTCATGGTCAAAGGTCATGGTAAATTTGGTAGTTCAATGAAGGTAAACGATTCTTTTATGAGGAACTGTATATGTTTTTAAAATAAGATTCCAGAGAATATATTAAGATTATCATTTCCTAAGTTTAAAACTTACATTAAAAGTATTTTAATTGAAAAGTCATATTATAAAATTGAAGAGTATGTGTTAGATAAAAAAATATCAAAAGACAACAAGAGTCTATGTTAAACGCAATTATGATTCAAGTTTAAGCATTTAAAAAGAGCAGTCCTTAGAGTTTCTTCTTTCTTTCTTTTATCAAAAATAAGTGCGCACTTGACCTCAATCTCACCTGATGGAATGTGATAATGACGTCGCCGATGTAGCATGCACACCTAAATAATGCCTACTCACTCTCGCCTTGAAAAGGTCCAAGTTATGTTGCTCGTTCTTCTCAATGAGGTCAGCGTAATGAACGAACAGTAGTTTAAAAAAGGACGTTTTCAAGTGTAAAAATTTTGTAATAAATGATAATACGACTTTGATATAAGCCGCTTTGTGAGTCGATTATAATGAAGCGCACTTTTTTAGGCGAATTGCAGTCCGGCTGAACACGTTTTGCAAAGCTTGCAGCGCGACTTATTAGAATCATTTTATTACCGCTTGTTGTACTGTCTGGTTATCATTTTTATTTTTGTAACGTGCAATAAAGAATATGACATTCATTCATGTAATTAATGATTACGTACCTACCTAGTATTTTTCACTAATTTCTTCTTGAAGATTAATTTCAGTTTCATTACGTCATGGCGCCGTTTTATTATGAAACTGAATGCCCTCCATTTGGCTTGACCGGCGTCAAGTAGATCTTGTTATACTTACGATGGAGTCATACTCTCGAGTGCAGCTTCGTTAAACTGCTCGGCGAGTTGGATCATCAGCTCCGGCTTGTATGGGGTTGGTTGAAACTCTTCTAACATGGTTTTGCCTTTGTACTTTTTAGTTGCGTGACTATACGCTGTCGAAACATAGATAAACGACCTGTGGATATAATAGACCAATCGTTAAGTCAACTATGGTTGACTATAGTCTAATTCGAAGGCTCAATGAGCATTTGTAAAATTTTAAATAGAAAACTACCGTGAGACACAGACATGACTAACGGATAACTCATGATTCGGGTGAGGGCGCAGGTGGCACCGTTTGCTTCATACAGGTACAGGGTCAAGAGCACGTCAAAGTTTACACTTAAGACTTAAATCCAACTTTATACTACTTACGATAAGAACGGTTCAAAGTACAAAGTGTCAAGCTTGATGTGTTGTTGACTGTACATATCGAAACATACGTTAGGTACTACGTCAGTGGTTAGTGTGGATGAGACTTTAGAAAACGTGAAGACGTTAGGGTAGTGTGCAATCCTGCACATGACTTTAATAAGAATAAAGCAAACGAGAATAGTACGTGCTTACAATATTAACAGTAAGTATGTTTGAAATACATGCTGTTCTTATAGTAAGCACGGCAGACTTGCTCGCCGCCGATGCCAGCGCCCGCACCCGTATTAAATGACCGGGCTGTCAGGACTTTGCCGCGCAGTTTACGTCGAGTCACCGCTGCGGAGGCTCATGAATAAGGACCACAGACTGGTTCGAAAGATGTCGAGCAAAAATTCAACTTAAACAGGTGAGTAATCCTTCCGTTTAGTTATTAACTATGTTAAACCTTCAAAAATATCTGTCGTAGCTGTTGATGTGCCGCGGCCATTTGCATTTATATAGGTCGTATATTAGTCGTCTATTTAATTGTTATCAAAACTTTTAATTACCTGAACGAGAATATAATTTTATATTTATAATTTTATTGACTAAAATCTTTACTTGTTCTTATTTTATCAAAGAAATCTCAAATCAGTTATATTGTAATTAATGCGCATGATATGGTACCTATTTAGTTAAAATACGTCTGCTGTGTTCCGTGCCGCATGTATGCTATTACAGGGAAGATATTGTAATACTGTGCTATTACCGTGGCCACTGAAAATCAGCGTCGTATCATTTTCAGTGGGACGATAATAGCTAAGTGGATTACGGATTCCGTAATAGTACAGTGCACACTCTATTATTCCAATTTTATTATTTAATTTATTTTAGTTTATTAGTCGAATTATTTATTAATAAGTATTCTCAAATTGTATTGCATTATATGTTAAATCTTAAATGTGTGCGTCCTGTGCTGTAATTTATTAACAAACAATTTATTAAAAAATATTTTTTCTTTTCTTCTTTCTTTTCTAATTCGAACAAGAGAGGGCTACTTAGATAGATAGATAGAAAATTCTTTATTGTTAGCACCACATTACAATATACAGATTACAGTATACAGGACAAAACTAAACACATTACTCGGGTAACAATTGGCGGTCTTATCGCTTACAGCGATTTCTTCCAGACAACCTTAGGATGGAGAGAGATTGTACATGAATAAAAGCGGGGGTGCTAGATAAAAATAATTACACAGACATATAGAATTTATTAAACAACATATTATACTTCTAAATATACACACGTATACAATATAATAAATACATATATATATATAGATATATATATAATATTTATATATATATATATATATATACACATACATACATATACACATACACATATGTATAATATATAATAACATACAATTACATAACATTTTATTCCTACATACACAATATTTACATATTTTAAAGATATAGAAGCAGCCTAGCAGCAGTTTATTGTCCTTGTGAAAGATAAAATGAGTTAATTTGATTCTTAAATATGTTTAATGACTGCGCTTGTCTAATTGTAGCTGGGAGGGAGTTCCAGAGACGAACAGCGTGTGTAGAGAAAGAGGAATCATAAAAGGAAGTGGAGTGCAATGGCATTTTGAGACTAAGATTTTCTGAAGACCGTAATGAGTGACTATTCGAGCAGTGTCGGAAACTAAATCTATCCTTAAGGTAGTGTGGGAATGTGGGGTTGAACAAAATGTTGTAAAGAAGGGATAGTATATGAGTATTCCGGCGCAGGCGAATAGGAAGCCACTTGAGCTTAGAACGATAATGAGAAACGTGATTATGTTTACGCAAACCATAAATGAATCGAATACAAAAATTTTGAAGACGCTCAAGTTTATCTAGCTGGTCTTCCGAGAGATCAAGGTAACTGGCGTCGGCATAATCGAGGACAGGAAGCAACAAAGATTATGCTAGCGCAATTTTAGTAGCAGTGGGTAAGAAGTTTCGTAGCCGCCTTAACGATGCAGCTGACGCATACAATTTACGACTAACGGCTTGTAGCTGTGGACCCCAAAGCAGAGAACTGTCCATGAGTATTCCCAAATTTTTTACCGTAAAACTAAAAGGAATGTCGAAACCATCAAAATTTACTTTAGGAAGTGCGCTCAAGTCAACTTTAGACAGTAACCTGGAGCTTCCTACTATCATCACCTGAGTTTTGACAGGATTAACTGAAAGTCCAAATGCCTCACTCCACTCCTTAATACGGAACAAGTTTTGGTTTGTGGTCGTTATAGCTTCAGTTAACCTCGATGGCGGTTCCTGACAGTATATTTGCAGATCGTCGGCATATAGGTGGTAGAAACAAGATAGGCTATGAGAAATGGTGTTTATAAATATGGCAAACAGAAGAGGAGATAAAATGCCGCCTTGAGGAACGCCAGCTGTCGTGTTACACCATGAGGAGAATTTCTCGTCATATCGAACTCGTTGCCTGCGATCGTACAAATAACTGCGAAACCAGTCAATCATAGTTGGAGATATGTTCATTGAGTGCAACAGGGCGAGAAGTACATCGAAATCAACTGTGTTAAATGCGTTGCTAAAGTCCAATAGTGTTAGCACAGTTAATTGACCATTCTCCATTCCAAAACGAATATCATCGGTGACTTTCACCAAAGCCGTGACTGTGCTATGGCCGGGACGGAAACCAGATTGGATAGGATTAAACAGATTGTGACGGGAAAGGAACTTGCTTAGTTGGTTATGGATGAGACGCTCCAAAACCTTTGAAAGGAAAGGAAGGATGGATATAGGACGATATTCGTTACATGTTTTGGGATTACTTACTTTAGGCAAAGGTATTATTTGAGCATCCTTCCAGATTAAAGGAAATGCGGCATTGTAAATAGAGCTATTGAAGAGGAAAGTTAAAACTGGAAGAATGATATCAAGGATCGGCACTAGCATATTGCGACTTATACTGTCACAACCAACAGCATTCGAGGTGATTGACAAAATACACTTGTTGACGTCACATTCCGAAAATTTATCAAGAATGAATGGAGAGTGGTCAGGGATTGGTAAGGCCGAGAGTTGTTTTAAAGTTTTAATTTTATTAATGTTATTAATACTAGGAGAAGAGGAGAAATGTACATTGAGAGAATCGATATTAACACTGTTAGGAATGGCACTGTCTTTGGATTTACCAATCCCAAGAGTCTTGAGAAATTTCCAAACCTTCGTTGGATCCTCGTTCTCTACGGATTTGTAGATATGGCGACGTAAAGCATCTCTACACATCATATTGCAGCGATTACGGATTTTGGTATAGTTAATTACCAATTTTATGTCGTCGGTAAGCCATGCTGCCGGAAGGTGTTTTAATTTTATGGATCGAAAAGGCGCATGCTTGTCATACAGTTGGTTAATGCATGTGTTAAAAATTTCAACCTGCTCATCCACAGTCTGCGCATCAATCACTGGAGACCAATCAATAGCACGTGCATCTTTAAGAAAAATCTCACGATCCATACCACTAAAATTGCGCTGGAGTATGACTTTGGGTTTAGCTTTAGGAGGACGAATTTTATAAGACAAATAAATGAGGTCGTGATAAGAAAATGCATCAGCCGAACATTGGCCGTGTTTTGCAACATGCTGCGGTGAAGATACTATTAATAAATCTAAAAGAGAAGGAGTACAATTGGGAAAATGATGAGTAGCACCAAGTGAAAGGATGTGCATGTTGCTTGAATTAATAACTGATTTAAGTGAGGACGTACGGTGATCATTTTTAATGAGACAAGTATTAAAGTCTCCCAAAATAATGGAGTGTCTATAAGAGGGAACAAAGTCACTTAACAGTTTTTCTAGTGAGGTAAAGTAGTCAACACGCAATGATGGACTATAATAAACTCCAAGAAGGATTTTGGTGTGAACGAGAGTGACCTCAACCAACAGATGCTCGCCTGCATTGGGTGACGGTGGTTGTGATGAGGTGCTAATAATGGCGAAAGGAATGTGAGCTTTTAAGTAAATAGCTACCCCACCACCAACGGAGCCAACACGATCATTTCGTATAAGACGGAATCCAGGTAAAGCATAAGAGGAAGAAGGCAAACATGGTTTCAACCAAGACTCGGAAATCAGTACCGCATGTATATTGTTAAGATCAAACGACGCCAGTATATCAGGAAAATGAGCCGGAATACTTTGGGCATTAATATGAATAACGTTAAAATTTTTGGGAACGTCAGAAAACAAAGACTCAAGTGTGTCTGAAAGAGAAGGAAGACTATCAAAACTGTTATTGCTGCTGTTGCTACTAAGAGATGACAGAGAAAAGTAAAGTTCATTATCACTATCAATTCCATCTGACATATCTAAATAAATATAAAAATATATATAATTATAATATAAAAACTATGTACTAATATAATATATATATACAAACCTAAACAACACAAATAGATCGACTGGTAACTGTAACAGATACTATCTCCACCCGCCGGTTGTAGTGTTCTGGGAAAGAACATTAATATAACAACATTACATTTATAGAGGTGGATCTGCAAGGGCACGGAACTGTACATACTAATCTAATCTAACTAAATATTACTGAAATGACAGGCGCAAAAAAAAAAATTGTAAAAACAACCAACAGTTAAATTAGTGCGTGAAGCGGAACGCAATTAATTTATTAAAGAGGACCTGTCAAAGTCGATCGTGACTTTATGCCATAGCCATTATAAATTTTACATACTATACA